ACAATGAGTATTACACAGCTCCAGACCCACCCGTTTATAACGTCCTTCTTCAAAATTCAGCAGCAAGGTAAGCTCTAGGACAGGATCGATACTAGATGATCAGCTGCAAAAAAAAAAAAAAAAGCCCAGGCGAAGTTTCAATACACCGAAGGCTCTTCTTGCATTTCAGTGCATTGGTTTCAATTCGGGGGATATCTTCACCTAGACTGGCTTCCTGACATCTGTCCTCCCATATGGCAGTGAAGGCTAGACAAACTCCGCACAGGAAGAAGAGACTTGAAGCCATAGAAATATGCTTCTGCAGAGGGATGCAAGGGTTGAACATGTGGACAACAAAGAAGAAAAAGGAAACAAAAAGGACACCTATAGAAAAAACATCAGGAAAACTTCAGTTGAATTTCCTAGAGCGCATAATGAAGAAAATGGCTTGGAAAATTCGATACTCACAGGACAGATTGAAGGCAAGTACAGAGGAAAACCTACCTAGCGAGCTTGACTAAATGAATGGCAGAGCAAACTTTAAAAGAGATGACAAAAATATAAAATTTATTAAAAACTACAGTGTACAGGAAATTGTGGACACCCATGATCACGAACGTCTTGAAGGGACACGGCACACAGAAGAATATTGGCTATTACTCAATGTGAAAGAGACTGGTCTAGTCTGTTATTTAACTCCTAGATGATAATATCTAAGGGTATTAATGTTAAGCGATATTACGCGGGTTCGGATCTCACCATGGTCGATTTGTCAGGAGACTTCCTGATGTTAGGGAAAGTTCTTGAAAAGCCATCTTTCTCCACAACAAATGGGACAGGAAATATATAAATACACAGTGGTAATTACTATATGGTTTGATGCTTTACTATAGGAAAATTATTAGTGTATTTACTAACACACTAATGAATTTTACTACAGCAAAATATAATTAATTTTATTACTGTGTTTACATATACACTAATGAATTTTACTATATCAAAACAATAATTTTATTACAGAAATGTCTTTTGCATTAGAATCAGGACGAAAAGGATTGTCTGTGGTCACGGAGTAAAGCAAGTATTATTGTCAGAATATGAATGTTAAATATACAATTTGTGGCGAAATGGGAAAAAAATGCTGTATTTAATTGAGACAACTTTTATTCTGCTTTTCATGAGAATTTTCGGGTTATTAAAAGTGGAGAAATATTACTGACCGCTTCACATGGCAACTAATTAAAGATGATTAGCGATTGCTTAAGAGATATTTCCATGCATTTGCATGAGTTTATTCTTGTGCTTCTGCATCTATAAATACTGCCGGGGTTAGAATTTGTCTTTAAGCGCACATGCCTAATTGTTTGACGAGTCGTGCGTGACTAGAGGAGTGTTTTTAGATTTATTAAAATAGAAGTTATTTACTTAAAATAAAAGTGCTTTCTGAAAATTCTGCAGCATCAGTAGAGGGTAGATGCAAGTTACAGTAAAGGGTAGATGCAAGTTATAGTCAATCGCACAGGTAAACTTAAAATTATTGTCTGCAATGTACAATGGGTGCTCCGAAAGTAATGCCTCGTATTTCTTTCTATGGAAACTAGAACAGATACAGGGCTCACAATCAAATGCTTTTCAGCTACAAAATCACGTTTTTTTTTTTGTTTTTTTTTTTTTGTGTTTTGGGGTTTTTTTTTGTTTTGTTTTTTTTTTGTTTTTTTTACAAATAGTCACCACCAGTGTATTTTCAAGACAGTTTTCATTTCCTGTCTTTGACATCTGTGCAGGTCTTCCCAGAGCATGACTTCTCAAACGCATTCCTGTTGCCGCTGCCAAAATGCATTACCCACCGCCTGTGCTCAAATCCACAGTTTGGTTTCTGTAAATTATTAATATATGTCAGTGAGGGCATTTTTTTTTTTTGTATACAGGAAATCAATTACGCACCTCTGCCCCGTACACACTTTCATATCAGAGGCCTTTTTGCCAGACTGTCACTCAAAATGTATGGATTGCTGAGTGAAGGTTTAGCTTCTATTGCCATTCAGCCAGCATCCCACTGATGTCATGAGTCAATGTAATAAGATAAGAAACGATTTTTAGTATTTGTATTCCTTTTGCTCGTATTACAATTGTATCTGGATTTTTCCATTGTATTATGCACGCATCGTATATGGACTCATATTCTAACTGGTATTTTTTTTCATTGCAAATCTGAAATTTAGTTTTCAGTGGGTGCGACATATATTTTTCATAATATAATTTCACGTAAAATCTGAGGGCTAAAAACAAACACAACAAAAACTGAAGAAGCAGAAATTTTCTTTTCGTATATATGCCTCGTCTATTCAGGATGTTGGCGATCACGGCTCTCCACAATTTCCTGTCATTTATAGCTCTTAAAAACTTTTGTCTTTTTTTGCCATATATCCTATCCCCTGCTCCGCCATCCATTCACTCAAGCTCGCCGGGTAGGTCGTGTATTTCTATCCTTTGTCTGGCTTACAATCTGTCCTGTGAGTATCAAATTCTCAAATAAATCATCTGTCTCTTCAGGATATTTAATTGTCTCTAGAACTTCCTCATTACTCACATGTTCGGTCCATGGTATTCTCAGCATCCTTCTGTAAAGCCACATTTTTGTTGCTTCAAGTCTCTTCTTCATCTGTGAGAATAGATATTAAGAAAATAAGAGGAAATTGAAACATAACATTGGTATATGCGATGAACAGAAAGAACTCAGCATAGAGTGATTTGTGTTGATAGAACACCCGTTGAAACTGGACTGATTCGCATAAACATAAATACGACTTACATTATTTACATTACCATATTCACAACGTTTCGGCCTTTGTACGCTCCGGCCTTCTTCAGATGATTGGAATTCCGAACTAAACCCTTTATTTCATCCACTGGAGTAGATTGTTCTAGTTCCATGTACCATACCTCTTCCAGATGTTTCAGTTATTTCCTTTTAGCTCAGCTCTCCGAGGTTTTGGTTCACCAAGGCTAATATTACATACCAGGCTACATGAAAATATAACAATTTACGCCGGTGAACGAAATAAAGGTTTCCTTTCGAAATTCCAATCACCTGAAGAAGGCCGGAGCGTACAACCGCCGAAACGTTGTGAATGTGGCAATAAAGATTAGGATTATTGTCCGAATAATATAAATAATGTAAGTAATTATAATACCTCTTTTCAGAGATATAGACAGAAACTCAAATACATTGTCGACAGAACAACTTAGGATATTATTTTTAAAAAAGAAAAACACCTTCTATATGCCACGGCCTTTTCAGAACTTGGGCGCCTATGGCTCTCCACAATTTCCTATTCTTTGTTGCTCTGAGTAAGCTTTATTTTTCATGATTCTCTGCTTGATTTGCTATCCTTTTACAGAAGCTTGCGTTTTTCCCTGTCGGTCTTGCCTTCAGTATGTCCTGTGAGTGTCAATTTCTCCAAGCTCTCTTTCTTCATTCTATGAATTTCAGCTGTCGCTTTCTGATTCTAAGTAAAAGTTTCCGTTTTGTTTTCATTATCCTTAAAACTTCCTCATTACTCACATGTTCAGTTCATGGTATTCTAAGCATCTTTCTATAGATCCACATATCTGATGTCTGAAGTCTTCTCTTCGTCATTTACTGCTATATAGGAGGACCAAAATAAGATACCAGTTGAACAATCTTTTCTTTATTTCTAAATTTTCCTGTTACTTAATACTTCGCTTGGCTTTTGGAAGGGGTCTTCCCGTTATTCTAACGCGCCTTCAGATTTTGGTGTCATATTTTCCGTCTTCTGTTAAAATACTTTCCAGAGATTTCAATTTTCGTATTTGCTTAATTTTGTCATCTTCCCTGATTAGATTCCATTTTGGAATGTTCCACTTTCTGGTCACCGTACAGTTTTTACAATTGATGGTTAGTCGTTTCTTCCCGCTTTCTTTTACGACCATCTCATCTTTGTATAGCTGCAAAATGTCATATTATAATTCTTCTTATTCCTCTGTTCTTTAGTTAGATAGTTCGTGCATGCGTTATGTCCCGTCAATACCTAATAAATAATGGACTATTCCGTTTTTGATCGTGAGGAATGACGGAAATGACAATTCAGCGATGCTGTTTCATTGAATGAAAGAAAAGAGATGGTGGGTGGGGGCGATAATGATCTCATGTGTTTAACGTTCACTTCAATAAAATGGAAAAAACTTGTCAATTTTGAATCTTTTCATTTGTATCCTCATACTTCTCCAAATTATGACCTACTTTTATACTTATGATTGTTATTGCCATATTTTGTTAAATATGTTCAGCTCAAATATTGGCCGATGCAATCTTTGAATTTCTGAGGCTATTTTGCCGATGCGGAACTCTTAATGAGCTTATTTACTTATTAAATATTAAGATATATTAGAAAATTCAAATAGGAAAACCGTGACATTTCCACAGGTACTACTAGTTTATTTATTATATTTACTATATTATTTATTATATTATATCGTATTATATTTTTTATATTATATTATTATATTATATCGTATTATATTTATTATATCGTATTATATTTATTATATTATATTTATTATATTATATCGTATTATATGAGTTATATTATATTTATTATATTATATTATATCCTATAATATTTATTATATTATATTTTTATATCGTATTATATTATATCGTATTATATTTATTATATTTATTATATCCTTTATATTATAGTTATTATATTATATCGTATTATATTTATTATATTATATTTATTATATTATATTTATTATATTTAACATGCTATCGTTCATACATATTTTCCAAAATGCAATAGAGAATAAGACAATTAGACAAATATAAAGATGGAAGCACAATTCTATCAGGCTGATCAATAGAAATGTAGAAGGTCGTAAACTTATATTTCATGAACTACCGTTTATGAGTTTGATTGCCACCCAAGGAAACAGAGACCAGGTTGCCCTGATATTTAACCTATCGAACAAGGAAGACGGATTCATGCCTTTTCGCCTTACGGTCATATCGCGCCGAAACACCGGTTCCCCTACGATCACCGAAGTTAAGCAACGTCGGGCCTGGTCAGTGATGGGTGACCGCTTGGGAATTCCAAGTGCAGTAAGCTTGGATATGCGGGTGGTGTAATGGATAACGTCTCGGAATTTAAATTCAGAGAGCGGTGTTCCAATTCCACTCGAGTTCATTATATTCACTTACGCGCAAATACCCTTTAGAAAGGTATTAATACACCTCTTTAGTTAATTAGTAGGATTTGTATCCATAAAGAATTATTATCTCAAAAAAGTTTCTTAGAAACTAAAAATATTTTCTGGTTTTAAATAACCTGCAAAAAGGTGACAAGACGTAAAAACCAACCAGTCAGTCAATCAATTAACCATGCCTTTTCCAGTGCGAAGTGAATGAAATAGAATCGACCGTAATTTGAACTCGGCTTGCTGGTTTCACATTCCACTCCGATTACACTACCCGCACAGCCGATAATTACTTTTGTATCGAACTTCTCATCATTTGGCAGAATTAATTGTGTTGGAAGATAAGCTTTAGAAAATTCTCAAGTGATATTCTGTCGTAATCTAAAGACTTCCACATTTCAAGGCGTAATTTTACGGGATCGGAATACTCTTCGACAAGATTAGATTTAAAGGATGAAAAATGATTGAATGCAATTTTCCTGGATCCATCATTACATATATATATATATATATATATATATATATATATATATATATATATATATATATATATAGATAGATAAATCAAACGACCAGATATAAGCAAGCGTATACACGCGTGCTGGTGTGCATACGCGCGCAAGCAGTTAAATAATCATCAAATTTATACATGAGGTGTAAACATAATAGTGCTCGATGTGGTTAGACAGACCAAAGATATATATATTAATCAGTACCAATACATGTACCTAAATTTTGGTGTGCGATTAAAGTTTCTCTGGATTACCAGCTCATCAGGCACAAGGTCTATGTTGCTAAATTTAAACAAATGGGTTAAGGGAGGAACGCTGCTACATAGTCCAAAAATTAAATTGAACTTAAAGAGTAGTAAACGCGATGCGGATGAGAAAATAGGATATATATATATATATATATATATATATATATATATATATATATATTGATGCATGTTTCATTAAATAATATAGAGAAGTGTTGTCTATTTATTTTATGTAAATTCTTTTCATATCGTCTGATAAGCTTAACATTATCATTAAACGAAGAAAGAAAATCACGATATTGATACATACTTTTCATTAAACTAATTCATCCAAAAACAGATTTTTTTTTTTAAGTGAAAATATAAAACAAGATATTGATACATTCCAAACTTTTTGATGAACAAATAAGATATTTCAAATCTCAATACTAAGTAGCAGAAATACTGCATAATCTCAAACATATAAATATCAATCAAATGCATACTAATTATAAACAAGATAAAAATATACTAAAAGAAATTAGTAAATACTAATATATCTACAACAGATCCTAGCAAAAAAATTAAGTTAATCATATACTACATTAAATCTAGTATATCCAACTTAATTCTTCGCAATGATTCTTCTCCCCCGGTTAGCGATTTGCAAAAAACCAACATAGTTTACAAATTCAAGTGCCCTTTGGGAGATTGTATCTCCAACGAATTAAATAATATTTATGTTGGTCACACCACAAACTCGCTTCCACGACGCTTGACACTAAATTTAAATGATAACTCTAACATTTTTAGGCATTTAAAACAACATGCCTGGCCGCATAGACAGTTCCGGAAAATCATTGTTGAAAACACAACTATACTTAAACAGAAAACAATAAACAAAAACTAAAAATTCTTGAAACTATATACATAAAACAGTTGAAAACTAAACTGAACAAAATAAACTATGCCTATAATTGATAACAGAAGCCAACGGTTTCCCATACTTAATACTTCTCGTTTTCACTCTCGCGTAGTTATGTGTGACGTCATGAGCTACGGTGCGTTTTTCGCTTCCAGCGTCTTATATGCGCGAGTTTGTCGTTGCTTGGAAATCTTCCATGTAAGCAGAAACAGACAATCATCACTGTTTTGTCCGTGTATTGCTTAATATATTGTAATTGTCATCTTTGATAATGGCTAATGTAAGCCGAAAGCTTAGATAGGATTAAAAAATATGTATCAATATTGTGATTTTCTTTCTTCGTTTAATGATAATGTTATTAAGCTTATCAGACGATATGAAAAGAATTTACATAAAACAAATAAACAACACTTGTCTATATTATTTAATGAAACGTGTATCAATGAAAAAATGCTGCATAAATACACACACACTATATATATATATATATATATATATATATATATATATATATATATATATATATCGATATTTAATATGTAGAAATAGATTTCTTCCTGTAAGCTGTAAATTAATATATGTATTTAAGTGTCTGCGCGTGTGCCAGTGTTGTGTGTGTTTTTGTGTGTTCCTAGGTGCATTAGCGTTTTTGTGTGTGTCATTGTTTATTTGTTTATTTATTTTTTTTTTTTTTTTTTTTGCTTTTCTTTCTTTAACCTGAGAAGTCACGTTCACTTGCAACCAGAGAGATAAAACGAGAACGAGGCCGGTAATTCGAAAAAGTACAAATCTCGTAGGACAAACGTGAGTTGATAAAAGGAAATAGAAAGAAAATTAAACCAAGATGGCTGTTGGTAAGCGTAAGCTTATCTGAATTTTTAAGACTCGGATGCCCAAATTCTATTCTACCAATGCTGGAGCTGTCATAAAAATAATCCAATAAAAACAAAACAAAAAGGAATTTTATATTGACTTATATAACAACCTGAATATCTTTATTCTTAATGCCTTTATTGTTTAAAGCGCGTTTTTTATTATTATTATCATCGCCGCCATTGTCGTCATTTGAATATACCTATCTTAATTCTTTTGTCTGGACACAAAGTCACTCACACACATCTTTTTATGGTTGCTAGTGCCTGTTTAGAAATCTAGGTCCATTAAAAATGACGTCTGCTCCAATCAATAGAGAACACTTAAGCTTCAGGCGAGATTCAACGAGAGTAACTGACAGGGCGGGACTTCGTTCAACATTTCCGGAACTGGAGGTTGAGGGCAAAAGAGAAGCAGAAATATGAGAGAAACTGGTCAAAAGTGTGGAAGGAAAAACTTATAAGAGAGCAAAGAAAAAAACATCGAGAGAGGGTCAGAAATATATAGTGTGACCAAGAGAAAGAGATAATTATAAAAAAACAAAAGGGAGAAAAAATAGAGAAAACATTTGAATGGAACAAGAACACAGTATGAATACGTTTATTGATTACATATGTTCCGAAGTGCAGGGTATACCCGTGTATGAGTCGATCACGCATTTTGGTCGACTTTTGAGTTGATCACCAGTTCATTTTTTTTCAAATTGGTCCTTCGAGTATAAGTCGACCACATTTTTTACCATAAGACAACAAATGACACGAGGAGATCCCTATATTTTATGACATATAAAATACACTTTCAGAAACCTTTCTCCACATCTGTAGTTTATACTGAGGCCACAAATACTACAAAAAATATCTATATAGATTTAAAAGCAAATTTCAATTTCAAATGCACATCAATGCTTATATATATATATATATATATATATATATATATGTTTGTGTGTGTGTGTGTTTGTGCGTGTGTGTCTTTGGTGTGTGTGTGTGTGTATGTATATGTATATACATATATAATTCTCAAAATGTGTGTGTGTATGTATGTGTGTGCCTGTGATCGGATGTTGTTTATGCGTTTCTACAGTTTTCATCCGATTTCGATGATTTTTTTGCTTGATAGATAATTCTTCAGTACCGGTTTCGAATCCAAATTGTTGGCGACAATGGCTCTCCACTACTTCATGTCCATTATAACTCAGCAATGTTTTACTATTTACTATCTGTTTTTGGATATATATCTTTCATAAAATCTTGAATGAAAATAGTTTAAATTATTACAATAATATCTATATCTATAATTCTCAAAATGTGTGTTTGTATGTATCTGTGTGTATCTATATGTGTGTATGTGTGTGTGTATGTATGTATGTATGTGTGTGTGTGTGATCGGTTGTTATAAATGATAATGATGATCAAGCGACTCAACGGCTGAGGTGAAACGCCTCTTCAACTGCTGCTGCGCGTGAGGATGAAACAAGATTGAAAACGCAAAAACGGCCCTTTTCAGTGCTACCCCCCACATTCAAATTTCACCCCCCCCCATTTGGGGATGTTCCTCAGTTGCACCCAATTGTTTTTACTAATATCGATTTTCGTGTGGGCTGACTTTAAACTTAATCTGCTCCAACTGGACAACAAAAATTCCCAGTAATGAAAGACCAGGTCAAAGACGGGTTATACGGATAATTTAATATAAAATAATTTTAATATCGTTCCCCGTTTAAAATTTTCAAAAACATTAACTATAATCTGAAATTGTAATGGAGGCATAAAAATTGAGTATGTGGAATTAATAAACACTAGATATTTCAGATACCTCAGTGTGTAGATTACTTATAATACATTTATCATAGCAAATAAGGAAACTGAATATAGTCTATGCTAGCGATAGTTTCACTAAATACCACAAATTGCTACTAAACCAAAAGAATAACCCAAGAACTCAAGTAATGGTCTTAAATAGCCTCGTCCGATCTAGATTATCATAGCGTTGCCATGCAGGGCGTCTAATCTGTTCTGAAGTATTTAAACTATTAACTATATGCAACCATTTTCCATGATCAATGATTTAAAATTGATTCAAGCGAATGAATCCTGTGGGCCGTAAAGAGTACTGACCGTTGACGAATTACATAGATTGGCGCTAGATAATCACGAACAGAGAACTTTACCAAATAACAGAAAACATTACTTTGAACATTTCCAACAGTAGCAACAACTAAAATGCATAGCACGTGTAACACGTAGAGAAAATACTGCCTTAATTAAGGCGTTGATTTTCAACACTATTCCAACGCGCATTCTTCTCTTTCATTCCGACTTGAAGATGCATATCACATGAAGGTGGAAGGTGTTGTCTATAAACGTTTTCAAT